AAAGGCAAATTGTGATTGCTATACTACTGGTCAGAGCAATCTCAAAACTGCAGTTCTTGTGGGGGTTCCATTTCTGCGTGGTCAGTACCTATCAAAGACACACAGTTGCATCCCCCACAGTTATGTTGTATGGGGATGACACAAGGGTGCCCAGGGGCATAATACTGTGTTGTGTGTGTGTGTGTATGTGGGGTGTTTGTGTGTTGTTGGGGTCAAAGGCACTTCCCGTATACGGTAATCTGTTGATTAAACTTGGTGACGTGTGTCCAGGTCAATTAAAACTCTTTCACTTCTTCCTCCACTTCTCCAAGGCTAGCTTCTTTAGACCTTTGGTGGCACCTGGCACGCCAAAGCTCGACAAACACAGAAGGAATTTGGATACAAGTACAATAGATAGGTGTGTCAAAGTCGCTCAAATCCTCTCGCTGTCCATTTTTCCTGCTTCTAACACATCAACTTGAGGACATAATGTTCACTTGCTGCCTAATATATCCCACCCACTGACAGGTGCCATGATAAACAGATAATCAGTGTGATTCACTTCACCTGTCAGTGCTCATAATGTTAGGGCTGATCGGTGTATGTTTGTGTATATATAGTGCAGGAATGTGCAATACTGTATAGTACTGTGTGTGTGTGTGTGTGTGTGTGTGTGTGTGATTGGATGAATGACTGTGTAAAATTAACCATTAAAATACTGAACTGTGGCAATCCCAGCACTACTGACCCAATTTGTCTATCCGTGGTATGACAAGTGGAGTCTATCAAGTGCAGAATAGTTTGTTCCTTACAGTTTGTCTTTTTTTCTGTCATAACTCACCACATGCTCTCCTGCTCCTTTACCTTTTATGCATATGGAAGCTGAAACTGTTGATTAATTCATTAATCAATTGAAAGAAAATGTATCTGCATGAACTTTTACAATGTAAAACACTTTATAGGCCAATTGACTAATCGACGAATCAAGAAAATAGACAGATTACTCAGTGATAAAAATAATCATTGCTTGCGGTCCTAAGGCATATTGCAGTTTTATTTCCTGCTGTTCCTCACCATGATGGCATGTGTGCCAGCTGCAGAAGCTCACAGAGCAAACAGTCTTCACTTCCTCCTCCTCTCAGATGTAATGCTTTATAAATGTGGTATACAGGTGCAGCTTTGACAGCTACCAGCATAGAACCCACATTTCCTGCTGTCAATCAGTGCCAGTGGCCAATAACCACCAATAATCAGTACAGATGCCTCCCACCTGCGCTCTCTGTTTGTCCCCCCACCCTTCCTTCCTTCACTCCTACTCAAATGCGGAAAAATGGCATGATCCAATTACTCATGCTGTGTTCTGTCTCCGGTGATCTTCCCACCGATCACCACAGAGCAGAGGGTGTTTTAATGGCACTGGAAGATCATCACATAGCTTCTCATAAGAAAAATGAGGAACGTCTGTTCTGACTGTTTTTTTTCCCCCCAGAAATGACCTCTTGAGTGTTCTTTTTCTTGCTCTTAGTATTAACATCAAGCAGTGTGTTGAAATTCTTTAACTCACAATCCTAGGAAGCCCTGCCCATGGTGTGTTTGGGTGGCATTATTCTTATGGCACTGACCTTGCTACTAGAGGTATTATAGAGGTTGTGTATAATTAGACTAGCCTGTGTTTTTAGCTGGACAATAGAACATGTACTGATACTGTTAAGTAATTACAGATAGAGAGTAAAGACAGGCTGTTTACTTGCATGCTACACTATATTTTCTGTCTGCAGTAACAAGAGATCCATTTGTGTGTCTGTCTCTGTAGATAACAAAGATAATACACTATATTTAGCATTGATTCTCGTGGATGACATTGGCCTGTGTGTTTGCTTTATTATTAGTTAAACAGAAACTCCCGCTGTGGCAGGGCAGTGTGTGTAGAGTTGAGCAGCCCAGACAGATAGATGGATGTATAAAGTGGAGAGGCAGACATCAGCGTGTCATTTACCGCAGCTAAGTGTTCCCAGCAACCCAGTCACCTCTATAGCAAGATGACAGCCGGAGCCAAGAAATGTCTCCCATTTCCAGGCTTGTGTGTGTGTGTGTGTGTGTGTCATTCAGTGCCAATGTGTGGCCCTTTGTTTATGAGGGAGATAAATGGTGGTTTGGCAAGATGCTGGAGACCAATACTGAAAAATCAGCAGTGTGTGTGGGAGCCATCCCCGCTACATTCACGGGAGCTCAGTGTTATTTTTGTCCATTTCTCTCTAGTCTTTCCACCGCTTCACGATATCATCAGCAGCCGCAGACCTGTGGAGGCTGTTTGTGACGAGCTGGAATTTTCTTTAAGTCTATTTTCAAACTTCCCACTTTTCAAGAGTCTCGCTGCAGTGAGTTGTGCTTCTAGCAGTGACCTTAAACGACCTCTCAATCAGCCCTGTTGTTCCTTGCTGAACTTGTTTTTCACATGGCTCTATCGGACTCCTCTGTTGTGGTTTTAAATAATGTCGCTGTCTCTGCGCAGATTAGAGTAGAGAAAACTGACAACAGCACATTCTACGGATCACAAATAGAGCTGAAATTTTTAGACCAGGGGCTTTCAAACTGTGCGGGGCACCTCCCCGGGGGCGTCAGAGACTTGCAAGGGGGGCACAGAGAGGGAGAGAGACATGAGACAAATGCATGCCGGTGACCTAAAAACACCAGCCTGATGATTTGTCCCGTTTATCAGCACAGTCAGCAGTTGGAGCTGGGCACACTTGTCAAGGATGAAATTAAAGTATTTTAAAACCCTTAGCACCCGATTGCCCCAAGTCAAATCTGAACACACAAACAATACTCATCTTTGCGTCACAAATTTTCACTGACGAAAACTTTTAAAGTCATGATGATGGGAATTGTTTTGTGGTCTGTACCAAACAAACACGTTTGACACGTAGAAAGTCATGATCTGTAGGCCAGGACATCTCTTCAGAACTACAGTACTCATTTTACCTTCATGAACTTCAATTTGCCAATTGCCAAAAAAACGTTAATCAGCAACTATTTAGAGAATAGTTTCTTTGCTTAACTCATTTTATTTATTTAGCTTCTCAAATGTGAATGTTTCTATAAACAGCTGAATATCTTTGGGTTTGGGACAAAACAACCAATCTGGAGACGTCACCTGGGGCTCTCGGAACTTGCGATGGACATTTTTTACTATTTTTGATGTTTTATTTTAAATTATTTATTTAGAAAATAATAAGCATATTAATCAATAATTTGGGCTGGGCCAAAGAAAGCATGAACATTGACATTTATCAAGAAAATAATCTGTAGCTGCACAGCCATAATCATACATATTTATTTATAGTCATTAAGTAGATCTAATAATAAGAAAGGTTAATGTTGTCTTCAGTGGAAAAAATATTGACCTCAAGTTAAAAAAAAAACATGTCCACATGTTCACTCCCTAATGATAGCTGTTCATTGTTTCCTCTTTGTCAGAGTTTCCAAGGAAGGCTTCTTCTGTCCTTTTTTTAAAAAGCTGTTGTGTCAAATGGAACAAAGGCTAATCCTTATGTCATCCTCATAGAGCAGCTGTTAGTACACCATCCCGCTCAACATCAAAACAACCATAGTGGCCACCTCCAGTCAGCCTGCAATATTGCCTGTGATCATTGGATGCTGGTGCTGCAGGAGGCTGGAGCTCTCAGTGATCCAGTTATGCAAATAATCCTTGTATAGAGGAGAGATGAGGAAGTAGCTTGAAGTAAAGCATTCAAAATAGTTAGTCATTTTTTGATGATATCAAGTTTATTTAGAGTAGGATTTATTTTTGTAAAAATATTCTAAGCACTTGCCTTGATTGTGGAGAGCAAGCGAGGCAAAGAGGACATTAGCAGTATGCGTCACCATATGCATGTGCATTTAATTTCTTCATTTGCTGTTTCTCCGAATCAAATTGGCAAGGCAACCTTTGCATGTGTGGGTTTGCTCTCCCTGTAAGGCTCCCTTGTGTCTGTAGTGCGAGTTTACCGGAGCTTACTTTGAATAATGACCTGTGGTTGTGATATGAGTTTGCATAGCTTTTAGCTTTTCAGTAAAGCTACGGTAAACATCAGCTATGTTTGTGTGCTTTGCTTGCACATCAGAAAAGCTGGGGTATATTTACTGTAGTATTGACTTTAATTGGGAGTGCTTAGAGTTTAAAAAAGCACCTTATTTACATGTGCTTAGACATCGACCCGTGTGTGTGTGTGTGGGTGGGTGTTTGGAAGCTACTGAAGGTGTGAGTAAGCCGTCTGGAGCTGCAGATCCCACACTGCGAAATACATTAAATCATGTGAGTGTAGTTGTTTATTGTAGGGGGGCACTGTGTGACCAGCGCCATGTGACCCTGTTGCCCCCTCCAGCCTGTTTTTACTGGAACTCAGTGTGTGTGTATCTTGAGCCCAAGCTGGTAGGGCTTTTTTTTTGTGTGTGTGTGTGTGTGTGTGTCTGTCTGAGAGGGTTGGTTGTGAGGGTTGATGGGGGCAAGGGCATTACAAGGGCAGTGTTTGTGCAGGGCACGGGACT